TACGGCTCCAGCTATAAACTATGTTGTGGCACTTATCGAAATTGAACTTCTTCGGAGTAAACAACTGTGTTGTGTAGTACCTTATGTAGACAATAACACGTGTGTACCGTTGAAATAGAAGTCCTAATGATCTGTCTCTTGAATCCAAATTCTCCTTAGGCGGGAGGCAAAAAGATGTCACCTTTTACTTTTAAACCTGTTATAGCAGAAAACCTAGAATATAAACCTCAGATTAACATATCTACAGTTAGTAGGTAATAGGTATCTGCCTAACTAACTAGGTGAAAAAAAATATCATAATAGACACTCATTCCATTAACAATAATAAGTAACTAACATCATTATCAATTTTCGACCCTTCAGAAACTTTAACTTCAAAACTTCCTAACTCCTAAAAGTATCTCTTGGCTCATTTTCAAAAACTTAACAAACAGATAAACTGTTACTTTCTGTTATTTCGTGTGTTAGTGACTTGGTATCTTTCTGTTATTCCATAATTGAAACAAAGGTGCGCCAATTCCAAATCTTTGGTGTCCGAATGCCTACAAATAGAACATTAAATGGGCTGAGGAAGCATCAAATTGACGAGGGTCCGTTGTGACGCAATCGTCCAACAATCCCAACAAATGCGACTTTGTTTCCTAGGTGTCAAATATTATTGAGCAATATTCGTTACAAAATAATATTGATTTAAGTTTAGTTAGAGTATTAAACTAGAATAACTTAATGAAAATGCCCCAAGGAGAGGAGGGCATTAAATATTTTTAACGTGAAGTAAGTTTTTCTTTAGCAGGGTAACTCTGTAGTTAACGTATCTTTAAAGCAATCTATTTTATTAAGTCAACATAAATGTATTTTGGCAATCCCACTACTAAGGCTGAGTTACACCACCTAACTTTAACGGTAAGCTGTAACTATAACGGTAGCCGGTGCTTTTTGTATGGAGTTTGACAGATTTTTGACGTTGGTAAAAGGTAAAGTAAGATGGTGCAAACCAACCTAAGTAGGCAAGTAGTCGAGTAAAACTAAAGTAGGTATCATTTTCTAATTGATACCTAAGAAATAGGTAAAAGGACCTTTAACTAAGTAAAAACGTAACTGAATTGACCATTCCCTGCACTGTAAACGTTTGTGGGATAGAGATTGACGAGTGTGGGCTGTTTGGCGCGCCGCAGACCAGCCATTGTTGTCCTGTGGGCAGAATCTGTTAGGGCAAGACGTTAATTAAAACCGCCGAACTAGCAACTATGAACGCGCAGTAAGCCTGAATTAAATAGAATATAGTGGAACGGAGAGAAATTTAATCATTATTATTAATTTCTCTTCGTCCCAGCAAAACTTTAGGTAAGAGGAATAGAGGTATTTATGAACCTCCATTCATTCCACTAGTGGACACAAACCACTGCGTTTTATACGCAAGCAGAAATTCTCAGAGAGAGTCATCATCACCAGGACATTCTAATCTCCACTGCAATACCACGAACATATTAGTATCTATTTATTTACAAAGGTAGAATTTGGCATACACCCACCACGTTGTTCAGATGGATTGGAGAGGCCTAATTTTCGCATATTTTGTCCCTTAGTCATCTTCCACGTCGTAACATGGGAAGGGTAAGAGTAGTCATAATTCTATTCTGCTAGAACTACAGCTAGGAGTAATTTCCTGCAGGCGTATTAAAGTGAAAAACTCCATCCCCAGTTAAATTAACAATAAGAAAGACGATCTATGCTTCTCAGGGTACATTACCGCTCTGAGTTGGCGCCAATGGTAGTAGAAGTAGTCGTAACGTGAGACATCAGATGCCTGGCGGCGTCGCGGCTCATAAGACCTGACACTAGGGCTGCTACCCAGATTTACAGATTTGCCACCCGATTTGTTGTTGGATCTCATTGACTTTTATCTTCTGAAATCGTCTTAGTTCTGTAAATTGAGTCGAAGAGTAGCTATGAAATCTGTGCCGCCCCTAGGCCGCGACCATAGGCCGCGACCTATTATGACCTATTGAGAAATCCAGGACTGCTGCTACCCAATAGTGATAAATGTTTAACATTAAATTAAACATTCTAAACGCAAAACGCGGTGTTTAGATTCAGGAATAAAGTCGGACTAAAGCAAACGACCATTTCGGTTGTAAATAACCAAGCCCAACGGGGGAACGATAAACAGAACGGCAATAAATGTTTATTATGCCCAGTATTGCGGCCGTTAAGTCAGGTGATCAGTGCAAACAGAAGGGAATCCGCTGATAGCCCTTGCTACTGCTAGGGTTGCCACGTTGACATTGATTGAGGTTGTATTATTATGACTTAGGGAAATTACCTGTCTTTGGATTTCGGTATTCGTTCAAGAAGCATGAACGACACTCGTATCATCGTATGTAGGTAAGTGACGTAGCTTGAACTTATCTTTAAACTTAAATGAATTAAAAGAGGCAAAAATTCACGACTAAGTAGACCCATTACAAGCTAAGTAACTATTGCTAGCTAAGCAGACCTAAATACCCACATAAACTCTAATATCATTCAAATACCTACACAGGCTTAAAATCCGCACAAAAAACCCCGATGGGTTTCCTAACAAAACACAGAGATCTGTTTGTAAACGTAATTATCCAGTTGAATTACGTTTTACTCCATATCTTCATAATCTGCTTGATGAAGTTCTAATCCTATTTCACTTTGTAATACGGTTCCAGAATACAGGCATCCCACATCAAATAATTCTTCGTTTTTTGTGAGCGACAACCCTGAAGGGATTACAGCGGCTAACCTAATTACCGCGGAGGGCGAGGCGTCGCGCTGAAGCGGTTTGTTGCAGAGGACAGTTTTTACTTTTAAAGTGCGACCTCTTTCATGACAATATCTTTTTTTTTAACTATTGTAGTTGTAACCCAACTTTTTTCTTGAAGAATACATTTTCTCCTGTTTACCTACTCAAACAGTCGTTACATAAATTATGGCACAATTTCGGAATACTTAAAGTTATCATTAAGTTATAGTTATTAACCACTAACTAGCAAGTTTTTGAAAATGTGAGTCAACAGAAATAAAAAATCGGTTCATCTTTTAGAGGTTAGGTAGTTTAGGTATTAGGTTAGGGGAAAAGAATATAAAAAATCCATGATTCTTTACGAATCTAAATAAGTTGAATTGTTATGAAAGTTTTATGGGTCGAAACCTTATTTTACATTTTACATTACACACAAAAAAAATACAGTACTAATAAGTGGTGGGAACATATTGAGAAGTGCGACATTGTTTTCAAACTGAAAACGAATTTACCTGCCTCCTCAAAATTGCAGGTTCCTCAAAAAGAGGTCGTTACTGTCCGCGAAGAGCCCAAGACCCACCGCGTATCCGCCCTAATAAAACAAAATAAAATGAAGCCTCCTGCGGTGTTAAATCTTCTATAAAACGGGAACAATTCCGTTTTACCACGTCTACGAATGCCTGGAATATTTCTTGCCAACCGACATTTTATTATTCCGCCGAGTCGTTTCTTAAATCTGAGAAATTTCACCCTTAAGAGATTTACACAACGCTAAGCCACTTGCATACCTGCCTGTCTCTAAAGTCGATAAGCTGTTAAGAATATAGGTACCTACAATAATAATTCTTCTGAATTTAACATGTACACATACCTAATTTCACTGAATATGATTGATTAAGTAACTGGCGTTACTTTTTTCATTATCTCACAATGCTTTTAAAACATTTAAGTAATGTGACTAATGCCCATTTTCACCATCAATCCCTAATTTTTAAGTGACCCCTATTGTAACACATAACAGGAATTTTGCTTTCATAGGGGGCACTTAAAAATTAGGGATTGATGGTGTAAACGGGCATAAATCTCCAATTAATAAACTCACACTTTTAATAATTTCAGTCTGCGTAATAATTCGGTTCTAGCTTTCCAATTCCATTTTCTAGAATTTTCAATGGATGAATAAATAGAGTTGTAAAGTGGAAGTTCCGAGCTTCACTCGATATTTAAGCGCCCTCGAGTCTGAAGCCTTTGCCCAGAGAGGTGTCATCGATTGGACTGAAGTGCCCTACCATTACCAAACAAAACAACAACTTAGCTGTGGGGCTTAATGTAGAACTACTAAATTGATTTTATTTCTAGTCTTATTATTCTATTACGTCCAAAAACAACAAACAACTTTGTTAAAATATGCAGGTACCTAAGTAGAGAACAACTTAACCGCCTCTGTGGTCTAGTGGTAAGACCACCTGCTTCAGACGCAGAGGTCCCGGGTTCGATTCCAAGTGGGGGCAGATTTTTCTGTTCGGTTTGGTTGGTGGTAGGGCTTGTTCTAAGTCCGCCTGGCTAGCTACCACCATCTTACCTAAGTCTGTCGCCATAACAGCAATGTTAACAGCATTGTTGTGTTCCGGCAGTTAGAGGTAAGATAGCCAGTTCCTCCGTGGTTGAGGATTCCGGGTGAAGCTCGCTTCCACCTTCGGCCTGATCGTCACTTACCATCAGGTGAGATACAGGTCAAGAGCTTCCTCGTTGTGGATAAAAAAAAAAAAAAAAAAAGTTGGTATATTTTGTGAATTTGTAAGTAGTTGCTTGACTCACCTCATAATTCCTGGCTTGGAGTATGAGTATTATTTGATTCCTGGTCAGAAGAAAAAAGGTTTATTCAACGTAATGAATGATTTTATTTAATCTAAAAAATAAATACAAAACTGCTGCTGAACATGAAGCTTCATTTTCCCGCCAAGATGTTTGACATTATGTCATATTGACATATCTTTTTTTTAAACCGATTTCCAGTCCAGTGTGTACAAAATTATAAACAGACAGCCGGGTTAGGAATACGCGTCGTGATAAATCTTAACTTAATGATTTTGGACGTGTCAAGATGTTTGTCAATATTTTTGTAAATATTTTTTTGTTCTTCACAATAATTAATCTAAGCATGTCAAAAATAAAAACTAATAAAACAGGAACACGCTCTGAAATTTTTACTCTGTAATTTTTTTGATTGATTCACAATATTTGAGGTTTCACGATAATGAAAATGAATTTGTGATTTGGTTGGTTGGATTTGGTGATTTACAAATAAATGTAGAATTTATTTGATTCCAAGACTTGCCATATTAAATAGTTTACCTTAACGCGGCTTAAAATCAAGTGCAAACACGAAAATGATTGTGCGGCTATCATTGTGTTCATAAGATGTCTGCAGCGAAGGGGTTTAGCAACAATAGTATTGAATTCGATCCAATTTTGCCTGATACAGGACTTTTGTTCTACGAAGAATGCCCACGAGAGTTTGAAATAGAGAGACCGCGGTTATTACCATTGAAATCGCCTACCCAGATACGTTTTGAGCAGCTACAACACGAAGCAGCTAGAGTTTGGAGAGAGAAACAAAAAACAGCGAAGAAAAATTAACTTTATGCCGTAAAATTTGTTTTGAAAACAGTAAAAATGGTGTACACATTGTTTGTAATAGAACTGGTGTCAGCATTTGTCCTAGCGGCAACGTTGTTGTACAGATATGGAGACTGTTACAGGAACCACTTGATAGTGACAGTGTCGGTGCTGACAGCGTGGTACTTTTCATTCGTTATTATGTTCATCTTGCCTCTAGATGTGACATCGGTAAGTCATTCAGTTCTTTTGTGTCTCTTATTTACGTTAAAAGTTGTTGAGCAAAACTAACTTACGTAGGCCAGTAATTAAGAACATAATTATCTCTAATTTGGTGTTGGAATTCTTTGCCATTCACCACTGGCTTACCTTTACCTACTTAATTACAGTGATATCAAAACTTTTAGGATTAGGATTTCAATTACGATTTCAAAACTGCAATTGGTGATGTGATTGAAGTTGTAAGGATGAAATTAAATTGTTAATTTAGGTTAGGTTAAGTTTCCTTTACTTATCGAAGCATAAATAAAAAAATTGAGAATAATTTTCCTATTTTTTTCTCCTATTTCAGACTGTCTACCAACAATGTATATTAAATGACAACACAACGACTGCTAAAGCAGAACAACTTCTAGTCGGCAATGCGACAACCACCGCAGCACCTCCGAGCAGTCACTGTCAGCAGCCTTGGAGTAATGTACCGAAAAGCGTATTCCCTAATTTATGGAGAGTCGTATACTGGACTTCACAATGCTTGACATGGTAAATTCACATTGCCGCACAATTCAAATTATACCCATGAAAGCCCTGCGAGTCGAGATAATAAATTGTTACGGTCTTTAAATGCTACACCTATTAATTACCTGAATTCCAATAGTGGATGTAAAATCATGAGTAATGTTATTTAATTTTGTGTGCTTACCTTTGTACTTGTTTACTAATAATTAAAGTTATCATTCCCACTCAGAAGCAGATAAATTACTGCATAACTCTTTTTGTAAATAAACAATTTTAATTGTAAGTGGTTAATCTAGTAATTATTTTACAATGCCAAGTTAAATATCTGTTTACGTTATTACTTTTAATCCACTTATCTGAAGCAGTTTTTTTTTTAATTATGCTTTTAAAAATAATTTGTTATACCAGGTGCTACTCTATTATTATCCAAAATCATTACTACTAGAAATATCTTGAACTATCTTGTTCTAGGCTTATAATGCCAATGATGCAGTCGTACAGTAAAGCCGGAGACTTTACAGTGAAGGGTAAACTTAAATCCGCCCTAGTAGACAATGCAATCTACTATGGCTCATACTTGTTGATTTGTGGGATCCTTCTTATATATTTGGCTTTCCAAAACGATGGCATAGACGGCCCTAAGATAAAAGCCATTGCATCATCGGCCAGTAACACATGGGGACTGTTTCTGCTGATCCTTCTACTGGGATATGCTTTAGTAGAAGTGCCAAGGAACTTATGGAACAATTCGAAAAAGAATTACTCTTTGACGTACAGCTACTTCAAGATAGCCAAGTTGAGCACTGATAAGTGTGAAGCTGAGGAAACTGTGGATGAAATTTTAGATGTAAGTAAACACTTATTATTTGACTAATGTTATCTGATTATTTAGAGGTGAACCCTGCTTGGGATGTGAGACGCGAACTAGAAATATTTGCCTGTTTGCTTACTGCCTCAAACACGATTAGTTCCCAAGTGATAATAACAGTTGTTTATTATGTGTGCTCCAATAACATAAGATCTATACTAATAATGAAAGTAACTCTGTCTGTCTGTCTTGTCTTGCTTTCACGCCTAAAACTGAACCGATTTTGATGAAATTTGGCATAGACATAGTTTGAGTCCCGAGAAAGGACATAGGATAGTTTTTATCCCGGTTTTTGAAACAGGGCCGCGCGCGATAAAGTTTTTCTGTGACAGACAAAATTCCACGCGGGTGAAGCCGCAGCCGGAAAGCTAGTACATAATAAATAAGTAAAGGTTACTTCTTGATACCACTGAAGTCTTTATGCCAAGTATTTTTATTGTAACGGACGTGTAGTGGTTCTAAAACGGACTATGCCGAGAGGTCCCGGGTTCGATTCCCGGCCGGGCAGAAATTGAAATGATGAATTTTAATTTCTGTGACGGGTCTGGGTGTTACTATGTATAATATGTATGTATTTAAAAAAAGTATATGTACAAGTATAAGTATATCCGTTAAGCTAACACCCATAACACAAGCATATTAATTGCTTACTTTGGGGCTAGATAGTAAAGATATTTATTATTATTATTTATCTTAATTTTACAGAGTCTGCAAGCAGCTCAGACAGCCATCAGCACAGGGCACCCATTACACAGGCATGTGGAGACAATAGTTCAGAAGTTGCCTATTCAGCTGCGAGACCGACTGAACTCCAGAGCCGCGCCCTATAGGCCGGCGGCGCCGTCTTTTAAGTCACTTATCAACTTGCATAAGAAGGTAAGTTTATATCGTCAGCATGTCTTAGTCTAATACTGCCTTAATCTCCTGTGATGGCTCGGCGAAGATATACCTAATGATAGTTATTATTAAAGATAAAGAATTTATTTACATAAACATGTGTGAAAAACATATTACAGAGCAATATGAGTTGGTCTTACAATTTTATCAATGTAACAATCAACATGTTTTACCAAGATATTGGCATGTAAAATATGTCAAGTTCGATTTAATTCGTTTATTTCACAGAAATACATGACCATTAAATGTTTGTTAAAATCTTTACAGTGTATCTTGTCATGACTGGCATGTGAAAGTTGTAGGAGAACAAAATCATTAATAAATCATAAGAATAGTCATTTGATAAAGTCACAACAACAAATGTGCATTTCTTGATAAACATTTATCAATTACAAACACACTTTTATCACGAAACTTTGACAAGATTCGCTGCACAGGGTATAAACACTAAAATTGTGTTGATATGATACAGACGCTATCACCAGATATTTTATTAATTGCTTGATCGATTGATGATACTATTTTTAGCAGACGATAACATAGAATCTTGCATCATCATGCGATTTCGGCTTTGACAGACTTGTCCAGTTATTCTCACATTAAGGGTTGCACCATCTTATTTTAACTTTAACAGACGTCAACAATCTGTCAAAATCCATACAAAAAACACTGGTCATCGTTAAAATTAGGTGGTGCAGTCTAAATACTTGTTCCCAGACGATCAAAGCCCTTCACGTGCTCCAACGCACGGAGACACAATGGGGCATGATGCTGGAGCGTATCTTCCACCTCGAAGATGTGGCGGCCAACCTCCGCTCGCCCGATAAGCGCTTCCAGCACACCTTCCATACGCCACGGCCGCGGCTGCAGAGACTAGTATACCCACCTATCATCGGTAAGATTTTTTTCACACTTACTTTTTTATGCAGCACAAACCAGGTATCTGACTGCAATCACATCTGATGCTAAGTGAGATGGAGTCTAGGATGGTACATAACTGCCCTGTAAGTGCTATTTACTTTTGCTTTCAAGAGGCCCGGCTTATAATGCTCGGGAAAGACAGAAGAAGACAGTGAATTCCAGTCCGACTCCTATTCTTAGACGATCATAGCGCTTCACGTGCTCCAACGCACGGAGACGCAATGGGGCATGATGCTGGAGCGTATCTTCCACCTCGAAGATGTGGCGGCCAACCTCCGCTCGCCCGATAAGGGCGTTCAGCACACCATCCACACGCCACGGCCGCGGCTGCAGAGACTAGTATACCCTCCTATCATAGGTAAGAATTTTTCACACCTACTCCTATTCTTAGGCCCAGAGACAAAAGATGTGTCGGCTGGACTCATTTTTCTATAGAATTTGACAGCGGCGCGCGGCAGCCGCGATACACGAAGCGGAGATAATAATATGTCGGGCGGATTTGAGCGCCTCGTCCCCCGCTGCCTTCTCCCCGCACCTCGCAAACCCGAAGGCGTCATACGATTCGTAGACAGTAATAAACTGCGGGCTTACATCAAACATATGAAGATTTTACTTCTTGAAAGTTTCCTGGGGCACTGTACAATCCGTCATACATTTAATGTCACTTTTTGACGCAGTCGACATCGAATGCGTTTTACGTAAACTCACACTATGCCCCCTGACAGCTACAATATTTCCTCTCGTCTCGTCTCCTCTCCGCTCGTCTCGCCTCAGACGTTTAAAAAAGCTTCACGTGCTCCAACGCACGGAGACACAGTGGGGCATGATGCTGGAGCGTATCTTCCACCTCGAAGATGTAGCGGCCAACCTCCGCTCGCCCGATAAGCGCTTTCAGCACACTTTCCATACGCCACGCCCGCGGCTGCAGAGACTAGTATACCCTCCTATCATAGGTAAGATTTATTTACACCTACTTTTATTTTTTATGCAACAGAAACCAGGTATTTGACTGCAATCACATCTGATGCTAAGTGAGATGTAGTCTAGGATGGTACATAACTGCCCTGTAAGTGCTATTTACTTTCGCTTTCAAGAGGCCCGGCTTATAATGCTCGGGAAAGACAGAAGAAGACAGTGAATTCGTCCTACTCTTATTCTTAGACAATCATAGCGCTTCAGGTGCCCCAATGTACGGAGACACAGTGGGGCATGATGCTGGAGCGTATCTTCCACCTCGAAGATGTGGCGGCCAACCTCCGCTCGCCCGATAAGCGCTTTCAGCACACCTTCCACACGCCACGGCCGCGGCTGCAGAGACTAGTATACCCTCCTATCATAGGTAAGAATTTTTCACATCTACTCCTATTCTTAGTAGGCCCAGAGACAAAAGATGTGTCGGCTGGACTCATTTCTCTATGGAATTTGACAGCGGCGCGCGGCAGCCGAAGCGGAGATATGTCGGGCGGATTTGAGCGCCTCGTCCCCCGCTGCCTTCTCCGCGCACCTCGCAAACCCGAAGGCGTCATACGATTCGTAGACAGCAATAAACTAAGGGCTTAGTGTGAGTTTACATCAAACATAAAATATGAAGATTTTACTTCTTGAAAGTTTCCGCCTGGGGCACTGTACAATCCGTCATACATTTAATGTCACTTTTTGACGCAGTCTCACAGTTTTACGTAAACTCACACTATGCCCCCTGACAGCTACAATATTTCCTATCCGCTCGTCTCGCCACAGACGTTTAAAAGAGCTCCACGTGCTCCAACGCACGGAGACACAGTGGGGCATGATGCTGGAGCGCATCTTCCACCTCGAAGATGTGGCGGCCAACCTCCGCTCGCCCGATAAGCGCTTTCAGCACACCTTCCACACGCCACGGCCGCGGCTGCAGAGACTAGTATACCCTCCTATCATAGGTAAGAATTTTTCACACCCACTCCTATTCTTAGGCCCAGAGACAAAAGATGTGTCGGCTGGACTCATTTTTCTATAGAATTTGACAGCGGCGCGCGGCAGCCGAAGCGGAGATATGTCGGGCGGATTTGAGCGCCTCGTCCCCCGCTGCCTTCTCCCCGCACCTCGCAAACCCGAAGGCGTCATACGATTCGTAGACAGCAATAAACTAAGGGCTTAGTGTGAGTTTACATCAAACATAAAATATGAAGATTTTACTTCTTGAAAGTTTCCTGGGGCACTCTACAATCCCTCATACATTTAATGTCACTTTTTGACGCAGTCGACATCGAATGCGTTTTACGTAAACTCACACTATGCCCCCTGACAGCTACAATATTTCCTCTCGTCTCGTCTCCTCTCCGTTCGTCTCGCCTCAGACGTTTAAAAGAGTTCCACGTGCTCCAACGCACGGAGACGCAATGGGGCATGATGCTGGAGCGTATCTTCCACCTCGAAGATGTGGCGGCCAACCTCCGCTCGCCCGATAAGCGCTTCCAGCACACCTTCCACACGCCACGCCCGCGGCTGCAGAGACTAGTATACCCACCTATTATTGGTAAGATTTATTTCATCATCATTTCAGCCATAGTATGTCCACTGCTGAACATAGGCCTCCCACAATGTTTTCCATGTTCCTGCTACACTTCAGCTTGCTAATCCGTCGGGCTATGTCAGCGACTTTAGTTCGTTTACATTTACTCATTTCTAATTCGATCTCGTAAAGAAACACCGAGGAGAGGGTAATTACCGCACTAATATGTATATGCTACGACAGGGAACGTGTGTCACGCATAACGAAATTCTGCCGATTTGCCCTTGAAATTATCATAATCTTACCGTCATATCTCTTGCGACGTAAACGTGGCTTTGAAGACTTACCATGTTCCACCGTCATCCCAAGTTATGTCTTTTATACTAGCCCTTCCCTTCCAGGATAGTACTGGGGGTGTTTCCTGCGCTAGTACTTCCTCAAGACGATGGTTATTTCGCTAGATTTTTTTGTCATACTTTGTTTGATGAAGCCTTTTTTATTCACAACGAGGTAGCCTTGGCCTGCGTCTTACCTAATGGAAAGTGACGATCAGGCCGGAGCTCCACCCGGAATCCTCGACAACAGAGGAACTGGCTGTCTTACCACCTTAACCCACCATCATTTTAAATTGAGTATTTTACAATACCCCTTCCCTTCCAGAATGGTACTGGGAGTGTTTCCTGCGCCAGTACTTCCTCAAGTCGATGGCGGTGGTGACGGGCGTCATGTCGTTGGCCATCATCTGGTCGGAGATGACGTTCTTCTCGGAGAAGCCAGTGCTGTCCATATTCGCGCACATAGTATCAGCTGCAACCAGCCAGTACAATTATGCTGCTATCTTGGTATGTTTTTTACACATTTTATTAAACATTAAGATGGGTTAAGTTCTACATCACGTAAATTATTAATTTAGAGGCTTAGAGCACACTAAACATAATAATTATGTTAACTTTGTGAATTTCTTTAGAACTTTTTTTTTCTGTTTGATATAAATTTTCTTTATTTCTTTTAATACACTAGCAGCACAAAGGTAAAAATCACATGGTGGTAGAACATACATTCATACTCGAATATGTATACTCTGAACTGAATTTGATCTAGCTCTTGAAGTAGTGACTGAATGACCTGACGATAAAGATTAAATATTCAGATATTTATATTCCGCCATGCTTTTGTGAATCAGACTCGTTTCACAATACTCGAGATGTAGTCAGCATTAATAATAGTTAGTGACACCCAAAGTGGCAAAAACTTGACAGCTCAACCTAATTCCAATTGTTACAAAGCCGCTTTGCGAACTTTTAGCTACTTTGGGGTGTCAAGAACTATTTGACGCTGACTACGACGATAAACTACGAACGTAAAAATCTTTCCTTGCAGTCGATATCGACCATCATAATATGCTACATGTTCTACTGTGCCTTCTCAACCGTGCTGAAGATCCGTTTCCTAAACCTGTACTACTTAGCGCCTCATCACCAGACCAACGAGTACAGTCTGATATTCTCGGGAATGATGGCGTGTCGACTTACCCCCGCTATGTGCCTGAATTTCCTGAGCTTGGTGCACATGGATGCTAGGTTCAGGGCCGAACAGAAGGAGAAGATTGTGGAAACCGCTTACACTAAGGTGAGTTTCAGGGTCATCGACATCAGTACACTATTATGCCATTAAGACATCCACTGCTGAACATCATAACCACATTTCAAATTTGTATCTCTTTTCTTTGTCAGTTACGCGTAATGTAATATAAATATTAATATATCTATTCGTTTATCTAAACGACAGTGATAGAAAGTATTAGGGACGCCTGACACGTGCTTCACGCCACAGCAACAAACCGCCACCGGCTTTACAAACGTTTTTGTGTGGCGGCGTTCACGCGACTGCTGTCGCTGCGTTGAGCTTCCGAAAAGCGACTCAATCGACGCGTTCGGCATTTTTATTTAGGCGTTAGGATGTAAAAGTGAGATTCTTGAATTTGCTCTATCAGATCACAAAGCTCAGTTATTAAAATGTCCTACAAAACGACTATGTTTATTAAAGTATTGGTATGTAAGTAGAAGAGACTATAATAAGGAAAATTTTAGTAAGTTCAAGGAAGGATTACAACAAATAACCTTCAATAATGTATATGATTCTGACGACCCAAATGAGGCTTTTGACATTTTTCACGATACTTTAATTTTGTTGTATAATCTATGTTTCCCATTAATACAAGTTAAACTTTCTGCCATAAAGAAACCAAAATGGATTAGTAAAGGTATAAAAGTATGCAGCAAGCGAAAACGTAGTTTACTTTGGAAATATAGAAAATGTCCAACGTCGGAAAATAAACTCGAGTTTAAACAGTACTCAAACCGTTTTAAACGTATAATAAACCTAACGCAGAAAGCACAAAACAATTACTACATTAAAAATTCATTAAATAAATCAAAGGCCACTTGGAACGTAATAAATTCCTCTAAAAGTAATTTGCCTAGAGAAAATATATCTCATTTGACCGTGAATAATGAAAAAATTACTGACCCAAAAAAAATTGCTGACATATTTAATGACTTTTTTATAGACGTGGTTAAACCGATTAATGCTGACACTCTACAAAATAATTACAATAATGAGACTTTAAACAATATTCCTAATACAATATATTTAAGACCTTGCATACCTCAAGATATAGATAGAATTATCATGTCACTTAAGAATTGCAATAGTACAGGCTACGACGGCGTACACACAAAAATATTGAAAAACGTAGCAGAGTTAATTTCACCAGTACTTTGTCACATTTTAAACAATTGCATTGAAAATGGTGTGTATCCGGATAAATTAAAAACAACAATAATAAAACCTTTGTTTAAGAAGAAGAATAGGCACGATGTGAATTGCTATAGACCTGTTGCGCTAATTCCAATTATATCGAAAGTTTTTGAAAAGTACATCTACAATAGTTTATATGACTTCTTCGATAATTATAGCATTCTTGTAGACGAACAAAAGGGATTTCGTAGACGAAAAAATATTAATATGGCAATATACGACTTCTTACAAAAGGTAATGATAAGCTTAGACAATAGGCAGCCAGTTGCAGCAATGTACATGGATATGTCTAAAGCTTTTGATTATGTTGATCACGGACTCTTACTACACAAATTAAATTACTACGGAATAAGAGGAAATACTCTTAGTTTAATAGAATCGTATCTTAGTAACCGAACACAAATGACACAAATTAATAAAATATGTACTTTGACAAAAACTGAAAAGATATACCAGTCAAAAACTCGTGTAGTCAAGTATGGTGTTCCCCAGGGCAGTGTTCTTGGTCCGCTGTTATTCTTGGTGTATATCAATGACTTTCCAAAAGCTACCAGTCACCCTATGGTCCTCTTTGCCGATGATTCAAATATTGTTTTTAGTTCAGATAATGTTTCTACTTTAACTTATGAGATTAACAATTCTCTACAGTGTTGTATTAAGTGGCTGCAATCCAATAATTTAATAATTAATTTAGACAAAACTAATGTGATGAATTTTAGAATTAAAGAGAATAACAAACCGAAACTTGACATTAAATTCCTTGACACAAATATTGACGAGACTGAGCAAGTTAAATTTCTTGGGTTGGATTTAGACAATAAATTAAGATGGACTTTTCAAATACAATCTTTATGCAAAAAACTAAGTAAGTTCTCTTATGCCCTATACATGTTGCGCAAATTAAGTGGATGTACTTTACTGGAATAAAAAACTTCCTACTTGTAATCTTACTTACCTAACCTTTCTACTTTTGTACCAAGTACAATGACATAATTTCAAGCTATTATGAATAACAATGTTTAATCTATTTAGAATTTAGAATAATTATAGTTTGGTTTTCGTTTGTCCTTAATAATTCTATCCTATCTGCAGTATCATAAGGAATTAAGTCCGCCATTTGTAGTTTTTCGAAACAATAATAATGATTAAATAAATATATAAAATCAAATTGGTTTAGGCTTTTCGTGTAAAGTAGACATTATTATGAAGTTTTATTTAAAACCGTCATAATATTTATTTTTAAATTCGCTCTTATATCGGAAATGGTATCTTCTAGTTCGAAGATATCAATACTTTTGCTTGCTTAAATAATAGTTTCATATATTGTGTGCATTAAATTTTGAGGCCACGAAAAATTATTTTATTTCATTAAAAAATACCATAATTCATTAAAAATATGTGAAGAAATGGTATATTACATATCAAATATCATAAAACATTAAATATTTAAGCCAAATTATCAATTTTCCCTTGCATAATACCTTACCTGGGTGTTCCGTTATGACCTATGAAAACCTATAAAATTATGTAAATTGTCCTTTATTACCTTGGTTTTGTAGTTTTGTAAAATAAAAATAGACTTACGCCCTGAGTAACTTGCCTAGGACGAATATTTACGGGGCGTAAAGGTCTTTTTATTGTGATTTTGAGGGCGTAAAGGAAATCTATCTCAGTAAATACTGCCCTAGTCCAGTTTTTCAATACTTCCTCGGAAAATGCTGTGAATTCTAAGCACTTTCTTCTTAGGTCATATTTTAATAGCTCAAAAAACAAAAAAGTTATTGTCGAATAAAAAAATAAAAAATCGTTTTTTGCTTCTCCTGAAAAGTCGTACTTTGTCCTTTACGACCTTTGAGCCCAGAGGTATCGATATATTATTCGTGAATTGCAAACTCAGAAAAAGGTCTGCTGTTTTAAAATAACGTCTATATTCAATAACAAATGCGAATCAGCAACTTCGATGACGCAATAGGTTTCGTTCTGGTGGTGACATGAATGAGATCCTACTGATGTGTGTGCTTCAAGTGTGCTACAATGGTATTCTGGCCGTGTTACACAGAGAAAGTCAACACTGTCATGGCTTAATAAAATTTTGAAAATAAAATATTTGCTGGGGAAACCTTGTTATTAGATTATGTTTGGATAGAGGGTGAATATAGACTAACTTTATGAAAGTTTATTCAGAAAGTTTTTAATATCCTTTCAGTCGTACGATTCGATGAAAGGCTGAAGTTTTTGTGGATTTATTTTATTTTATTCTTTACAATATAGTTCTGCCTTTTTATCAAAATCTTATCAGAATTGGATGAAGAAATATGTTCGCATGAAAGTAATCTGACGCTAAATGCGCTATATCGTATATCTTCTCCATCAGCCGTTCTATATTAGTCTTTTCAAATTCAAATCCTTCGTCGGATACCCTTTGTGTTTCTATTCTGGAAAAGAAATATGGCTACAATACAATACAAAGACGTCATGCTATTAACTTTTTTACGAATATAAATAGCGCCAGTATTGCTTGCGGTTTTATTTTTCTGTGCAAAGGCATTGTGTGGAGGGGCTTTGATCGACACAATATCAATTGAAACCAATTGATTCCTCTTAAAGCCATTTACTGGAACGTCCTAGATGTACATAATAATGTTATTGACAATTTGTGTTGAGATCAGAAGGCTAATGTTAACATAATAGCGATTAGCATTGGTCATTATCAGAATCGGTAATCGCTAATGTATTGTCATGTTAGGTGATATGTGGCGTCAATTAACATGGAATAGGATGTTTATCTATCACTTAACTTAATACTCACCTTGACTTGAGCGCAAATAAAACATGCAGTATAGTAGATGTAGTAGAGTGCAGACAACGTATTTTTGAAGAAAATCTTCAATTCGTGCACGGGAACATATCGTGTGCGAAATTGATTGAGATCCTCATACGAGGAGATGTTATTCTCATACGATTTCTTATAACATCGTACGTCATCTAAGGTTTCGTAAGGTTTTGAATCGCCTGGTCGTGTTTAATTCCAAGTCATATTATAATGTAGTAATAAATAGTATCTATGTAGGTATGGCATCCGCCAGATTGCGATCGCATTTTGATCTAGAATAAGCGCCTGGCACGGGCACAAGCGGGGCATTCCCTGTACTTTGAAACAAGGCAATGACTGGAGGCATCCCCGAAGCGACCATTATGTAACGCTGAAAATATCGACTTTAGCCTAACTAGAACTTTATGAAGCAGTTTCGTAATAACTTCCCAGATTGCAATTTCAGTTTACCTTTTCCAACACTGTAACGTAGTAAGTAGTATACTTTGCTTGTAGAGGAGCGTAGAGTTGAAAATTTCTTAAAATTCCTGATTCATTCACCCTGCATACTGGACAGATATCGATTGTTATCTCTCTCTACGAGTGACTTTTCGTTCACCTTTTTTATTATAAAATATGCATGAAAGGCTATAAAAGTATAAGTTTCTTATACCCTTTTATAAGCTTTCTTCCTAACTTCGATAGAAAACCGAACCCGAAAGTTTAGATGGCGGCTGTGTTAGTTAGATACTAGTTTCGAACGGAGTTTCCCCAACAAACCTTTGTTGTACTTATTACTTAGCAAACTTTTCGATTAAGACATTATCAGGCCTAGGCCTAAAAATTAAAACTTTTTGGGGTTTTCTCAGAAGTTTTATCTCGAAAATTACTTTTTAATTTAGCTTGATAATTCTCAACCGGATACTTTATAAATTTCTGCAAGCCGAACAACCTCTTTTCACGTGCAGACAATTCACCATCTTCTCAGTCTGCACCGGTGGCGGTTCAATCCGGTCACCAAGCCGCCAGGAAAAAAATCCTTTCTTGCAGTGGCTTAATTTTTGTCGCAGCTAGAAGTATGTGATACCGAGTGTTAATGACTATGGTATTTCCACCTTAATTGAAGTCGGTTAAAAATGGTTAACACGATCTACTCAACGCGCAATAAAATTCGTGATCAGTCTTATCAGGCGATTTATGTGTTTTTTCCGTGACAAACGGGTCGCTACGTTCCCGCTTCGTTCCATTATTTCTTTACTTCGTTACTCCATTGTACGCTTAACGACATGTAAAATTGTAAATTCGATTGTTTTGAACGATCTACATCTGCGCCTGTTCCATGTTCTTTGTCTGAAATTGTAGGGGAAAATGAAGAGGCAATTCGTGTTCAGGTCAGCATAATATGGTAACTATTATTGTTATTCGCTATAGCTTTGAGTCGTTGATCCATGAAGCAAGGCTTCTCCCAAGTCTCGATAGCAATGTTACCTTCAATAAGGGTAGTTTTTAACATTAGTTCGACGTGAGCATGTTTGTTAGCAACAATAAGTTTGATTTTCCATCCAACCTTGATAAAACAATGGGCAAAAAACTTTACACGCCTTGACACATCTGCTTAAAACTCATAATGTGAATATTTACAGGTCGATAGTTCAGGGTTTGCTTTTGTAATTTATGAAAACTTACAAAACAAATAATCTTAAGGTTATAATAAATACCACAGAATAAATACTAGTACTTCGATTCTTCATCTTATTCGTTACAGAGTGGTCGTGGTCACGTTGAGGCGTTGTTCACATCGGTTGTAGAGGCGGATACAACTCTCCGCACGATCTCCCTCCATCTCTCTCTATTGGCAGACTGTCTGGTGCAGTCACATATGCCGTTTCCTACTGCTGCTTTCACTTGGTCGGTCCATCGCATTGGTGACCTGCCACGCGATCGGGTTCCTTCGACTTTTCCCTGGACGACCAGTCGTTCTATGGAGTTGTCATCCCGCCTCGAAACATGTCCGAAGTATTGCAGTATGCGCGACTGTCCTACGGTTGAAATTAGTACTTCGTTTATGCAAAATGAATACAATACTAACAAAGATATTAAGGCAATTCTATTCATTTATTCAACCCTTGATACAAATCTGTTAGTTACACGTTTCCCGAAATCCAATTAAATCATTTCACTTCTGGATCTGACTCTAAAAGAGCCAGTTTAGTATCTTCTGAACTTGGCATTCTTGGCACAGACATCTAATTATGCGGGTACACCCTCCATGTATCGTCTAAAGGTTTATATAATAGCCTTCGTTGACATTGCGGTATCCCGGGACCAGAATTAGGCTTGTCGGGACACGAAATAAGATACCAGCATCTAATTTCGATGTTGATTACAGCCTTTCAAGTTTTGCTTCATTAAAATGTTGTAATTTGCTATGTGATTCGTTTATATTCTTAACCGCTCAAGGCCGTTCTTGCTATACACATATTTAATACAGGATATACTTATCCTTGATAATTAATATTACTATAACGTGTGTGTACTCACTCAGACTCACTGATGCAATTTGCAAATATTGAGCTCATAGAAAAACACTATTTGAGTTGCAAAGATTCACTGTGGCGTCCAAGTTATCTGACCGTACTCTGAAACGGACATATTCTAAGAATGGCTCTTGATTGCGATTGTCATGTTTCCAACAGGCCTCCGTATACCTTGTCACTGGGAAAGTTTCTTGATCAATAAGTTTGAATTATTTACTCATTTGCACCGTATCCAGTGCGCCGTTTATACACGTAATCGATGGTGGGTGTTCTGGCTCCGTGCCAGCGGCTGGCGTAGCATTCATGGCACCCATTGAGCGTGCCCATTCATGATGACGCGGTTTCTAAACGACCCTGTGAGATATGCCGTCACTGCAAAGGGAAACAGAAATACTGACCCCTTTTTGGCACGTAAAGAAACTCTTAGTTGCTTTTGGCGCTAAATCTGTATCTTTCTCACGCTTGGGCGGATAGTCCTTTGTTCCAATTTCGTCTTTCGTGACAGAAAAACCGAATTCTTCATTTTTTCACACAGGCAGCAAACTATACAAATAAAGCAATTCTGTTCATTAAAATTAATATCTTCATTAATAATTGAACAATGCAGGGACATTCATTATTTCCAATTCCGAATGAAAATACAAGGGCGTACACGAATGAATCACGATACAAATTTTGGCCGTTTATTAAATTACTTTGTTTCATTTGATACAATTTTAATCATTTTAAATAACCAAAGCAGAGTGAAGTAATGTATCTTGGCGAGGCTCTTAAGACTACAATTTAGTAAAGTTTTTATGGTTAAAGTTTGATGCCTGGAACCGAACAGATAGAAAGTATTTTTGATCGCAATACTTTCTATGATCCAATTTGGCAGGTCAAACTTGTGACATTTGAGAAGCAGGCGATATTTCACGCTTCGAAATGGCGGGCACTCCGCTAAATTCGTAATGCTTCGTGAACTCTGCTATTACTTCGGAGAATCGATTCCAACTGCGCGAACTTTTTGTGTTACCATTTTTATTGAATGGTCATGAGTTCTTTTTTTGTCTTTATTCATAGCTATCTAATATACTAGGTGAATGTGTAACTGCTGCGCCATATAGAGTTTTTCGAGTACTTTGAAGCACTCCCCTTTATACCTTTTTCCGTTTGGGAAGCAATTTCGCTCGCACAAAAAGAGGGTTTGCGTTGTTACACACAAAAGTTTTTACCTAAATGAGAAAATGTCTAAACAGGGCGATTTAGTTATGTTAATGAAGATGCGGGTGTGTTGTTAAGTGAACAACTAATAGTATTTTCTTTGTTAGTCCTGGCTCTGGGCTAATTCGCGAAAATTCTCGATAGCAATATTGACAGATAACGTCGTATTTGTTTTACCATTCGATTCGATTGACATAAGTAAAAGCATGCACAAGATTGTGTGTTTACATGACCATTTATTTACATCTATGTACATATTTACGTCAATTCTCGGAGGACCTGAGTGGGAACTTCATAATGTTATTTCTGTGTGTAGCGTCATCGTCAACATTTGATGTGACATCTGAGAAGTTGCTTTTGCGTTCATTAATACTTGCAACAATTTGTTTCTGAACATAATAAACATGATGTGCTTATTGATTTAACTCTTGTCCGAGATGTGTACTCAGATAACGAGTACCCACTTGGCTACTTATACATATTAGCTACGGACGGTTTAAAGTCAATGAGTATGCCATTGACTTAAAACCGTGTAATCATCGTCATGCAACATGTATATTATCGTCAGTATGTTTGACCAAGAATTCCGCATATATCGTCCGCATATTGTCGTCTAATATCTACCAGGTATCAGACTCTCAATACTGGTCTTTTGTTTGAACGCGTGTCTGGTCAAATCAGTTGATGTTCAACCATAATTTTCCCCAAAGGCATCAATCTCTCTAACAAAAAATATCGTAGGTATTTTACAAGATTGCAATATAATTCAATACCTTTTTATCGCAAATCATCAAATCCTCAGAACTCGATCTCAGATAACAAAGCCTCGAGTAATGAGTATCGTTACGATTTGGGCCACGATGTAAATGGCCTGAGCCTACGGTGATGATCTCGGTAGTAAAACCAAATCGCATCCCTATTGCCTTGGATCTGCGTAATTTATGGAATAAATTTATTCTGACATTCAAAAATATTGTAGCTCTGCTATCACAGTTTTCCTCTGACAAGTGATCTCTGTTGTTTACTTCTAAGGCCCAGGACAGACTGTGAAACGCAACTGCAACGAAACTGCAACTTTCTGATGATTCTGGTGAATGAAACTGAAACTGAAAGTTTCAAACTGGTGGCGTCATGTGTTGTCTCTCAACGGACGCTATGGCAAAAAATTAGATGCAACTCAAAAGTAACTAGCAGTTGCAGTTTCGTTGCAGTTGCGTTTCACCGTCTGTTCTGGGCCTAAGTGGTATTAACCTCTGCCTGTAAAGCTAAAGTTTTCGGCTCGGACCTAACCTAATCTAGTTATGAGGGTTCTTAGGGCAGGGATTGCAGGGAACCTACGCCACTCACAAGATTTTCACTAAGCAAATTAGAAAAGTTTGTATCTAAATTGAGAAAGTTGTCGTCGTAATCGCTTCCATCTACCGGCCTTTGCGGGACTTTAGCCTTGACATGAGTGTCTTGACACTGTCACCAAGAAAAAACAAATATGATAAATGGGTCTTCCTCGTCTTCCTTCATCCTTGTTTTGGTAATATGGTTATTCTGTTCGACGAAATTATTAATATTCATATAGCTGTCTGATCCGACATTGTCATCGCACAAATTAATGTAAACAGTTTTCTCAAAATTCAGCGAAATTCCAAGGATTCGTATTTTCTTCGTTTTCATAAAATGCTATGTGAGAGTATAGTATAAGATATTTTTCATCTAAAAAATATTTTTACTATGCGCAACCCTGCTACCCTTCAAGCCCGTCAACCCCGGACTACCCATCGTCCTTGAAAAAGGTCCGCAACTCCGCACTATACCTTCCCAACTTATCTCGTCCATCCTTTCGGAAGATGGCCGTTAGAGATTCGTAAGTGGCTAGTGAATAAATAAGCATCCGGTGATCCCGTTAATCCGGGTCGGGTTAGCCGGATATCGATTGGTCTGCGACGGCCGCCGGTCACGGCCAATGTCGGGTTTCGTTAGTTTAAGGTAATTCCGCCAATATCCGGACGTTTTAGTGATGCGAGTTGTATTTTGACTGGTGAAGGTTAAGATTTTTTTACGAATATTATGATTTTTTTATTTGCCAGTAATAATTACACGTATGTCATGTTTATGTGCATACAATTTCTACAGATACGGTTACGTTTGGTGTGGAACTCCTTAATAAATAAATAAACTCATAGGCTAAAGTAAAAACAATAATACTAACCAACTTGTCGGCCGTTTGGTGTAGTGGTTCAGAACGGACTACTATGCCGAGAGGTCCCGGGTTCGATTTCCGGCCGGGCAGAAATTGAAATGATGAATTTTAATTTCTGTGACGGGTCTGGGTGTTACTATGTATAATATGTATGTATTTAAAAAAAAATATATACAGGGTGTTAGGTAAATGGGTATATGAGCCGAGACTAGCCCATGTTAACATACTCATATAAATACTATAGTGGTGTCAGAAAGTGGATATCGTAATATTTAATAAAAAATATTTTCCCATACAAAACTAAATTAATTATTATTATTTTAATTTTTGGACAGCCCTACCATCGCCCAACTCCCTCCTAGGTCAAACGTGGTCAAACGGTATTTCATTCACAAATTTTGACGCGAGTCGGCACTTTTATTATTACTTTTGAACCAATTCTTCACTTACCTCTTTTTATTGACTCTGCAAGCAATCCAAGGTATTCAGGGGGTAACACTTCACTCTAATTCACAAAACGAATCGCAACACATCTATCACATCCATCCACTCACTTATTCACCTTCCCACGCTTTCAAGTGGCCGGGTAGGTTCTTGTAGTGAAATCCTATTTTCAAGAACGGGATCTCCGGGTCTCCCTTCGGTGGTATGGTGGTGTCGATTCACCCACCCGCGAAAACATTAAGATACAAGGCATCGTGGAACGAAAGGTCTCCCGGACATAAATCGTTCATCACACTAAAGAAGACACAAACAAAGTCCT